ATGTTAAAAAATGTAGGGGGCATTTTAATAGGATTCTAATTATATTAAAATTAAAGGGTTTATATAAAAATTACATACAAAATGACATACAACTGCTACCTGGTCTTTTACCTATTAAACTGGATGATCTAATACCAATGTAAGGATGCCTGTATACACTGCAATCAAATTTCTGTCAAAATTATTTTCATAATCAAAATTATTTTTAGTAATTTTACTGTGTAGGGATTGCATTTGTGAGTGGCAGTGAGATTTAAAAAAAAACCAAATGAAAAGAAAATGAAGGTATCATTTAACTATGTATCTGCAGGAATCAATGTTGCCCCATTTTGGTTGCAATGATTCAGAGGTTCTGCAATTATAGTAACAGAGATGGTAGAGGTCTCGTCTTATATTATCTATGGACAGGCTTACATAGCAAACAAGATTACAAATAGTAGAATTCGTAAGAATCTCTCAGTTTAGTAGTATTTCAAATTATCTAGTAGATAAGTTGTCCGGACACCATTCTGCTTTGGAATATCATCTATATTCAGATATTGTGTATAGAATGACATGAATTCAAATTCATGGATGAAAGATGATCTTTCAGTGGTATTGATTGTTTAATAACATACAAGCACCATCTAATATCTATAGTCAGCCTAAGTGGTTCAGGCTTACTTGTATCCTGTTGTCTTAACCCTGCTCTGAAGTCATATGTATTTCAATGAAATCATTATTGAACATTGTAGTCACACACAATATTGTCAAGCAAATTGACCATTCTTCACTGCAGCATTGCAGCATCTGTTTTGAGTGCAAGTAGAAGTAAGTATATAATTGATGAAAACTTAAAAACACACACTTGTTCAAGTAGAAATATGTTGTTGTTTTTTTAGCTAAAACTGCATTCAAAAGTTTATTTAAACTATGTGCCAGGATCCAAAAATTGTGTTGCAGATGTGCATTTGTGGTGGGTCGCCACATATTTGTGTAGTAAATGTAGCCTAGCTCGTCTGAGGGCAAAAATCAGTGGTGAGTGATATGGCACACTTTATGTTTCCAATCATATACTACCATGATCTGAGACGCAGTCTAAAAACAATGTGGCTAATGTGTTACAGAAAGTGTACATTTCTAGGTTACGAAAATATAATAATTATACTTGCAGAGGACACCACAACCTCTCTCACAACCTGTGAAGTAAACTTATATGATTGACAGTATAGACACATATGGGGGACTAGAACAGCGGTCGCCAACCTTTCGGACCTCCTGGACCACTAAATTAATAATTTTAAATCCCTCAGACCACTAATATGAATTTTTTTCAAATATATATATTTTTTTGTTTCCTCATATATAAACGGTGCCTCCCCTTCCCCCACACTGAACCACTATTACATGGCTTCTCCCCACTTTTTATATGTCCCGCAGCCTCATCAGTCTGGGTACTGACAAGATGCCCCGTCTCCTGCAGAGCCCACACTGTACTGAGAACTGCGCATTCCTTGTGACAGCCACAGCCACTAACAGTGTTAGTTAAAAAGGTCAAAAAGAAAATATAAGGAGGAGTTTATTGTTATCAGCTTTACTAAGGCTTACAGAGATGGTGAATAGTATCTTCAATGTGTTATGTGGTCATTGTTATTTTTCTTTGGCTTTGCTGACATTTTGATGATGAATATCTTCTTGGGTCCTAATACTTTTTTTTTTGCAATTTTCTCATTTGGGTCTTTGGATTTAAAAAAACACTTGCTCTAAAAGGATAGATTTTTCCATGACATACTTATTTTGAATATATATTTCAGAGCCCATACACTATAAGTAGAACAATTAGAATGGTTTGTATGTCAAAGAACTGTCAGAATGTTTTCCTCACATTACACTAAAGATATTGAAAGTTCTAAAGCTTTAATCTTCTGCTTAAGTTACTGGAACTGAATCTTTATAGGCTGTGTAATGAATGTAAATTATGTGAAAGCATGTGCCAAGTATCAGCTCTTGTAATATTTTGCAGCATACATACATTTGGGTTGATTTACCAAAGGCAAATAAGCAGTTTACTTTGCAAGGAATGTTTCACTTTGCAAGGGAATGTTCACTTTGCAAGGAAATTATCACTTAGCTTAGTAAGTAAAAATGTGGTAAGAATTATCTTTGCAAAGCCTATTTAATCACATGCAAAGAACATAACAAAAGAACAGCAATTTTTCTTGCATTTGATTGGATGATGGAAGTCAGCAGGGTTTAACCCAATTTACTAAGGTAAGGGGAAATGTCCTTGCAAAGTGAACAGCCTATTTACCTTTTGCAAATCAACCCCATTGGATGCGGTTCACTTGTCTGTCTGTTGGTCTGTTTGTATATCCCCTGTATGTTAGCCTCTTCATCCATCACCTCTATCTATCTGGCTGTCAGTTTATTTATATCATGAAATATTTGTTAGGGGGAAAATGTAGCAAATAGTGATGTGCAATGGTTGGGCTGGCTCCTTCGACAAAAGTCCAAAAACTTTTATCCAGTGAGGGGTGCCAACATGCTGCTGAATCGGCTGAAGTTCAAGTAGTGTATGGACAGCAATTGATGTTTTAGTTTAAATTAGCTAAATACATTTTATTTCAAAACAAAATGTGTTCAATGTTTTACAGTTTGTTCCATTCATAAATAGCTATACCCTGTGCAGAAAAGCTTGTGTCCTGCCAGCATGCTGCAAAGTGAGACCCTTGCTCTCGGTGGGGGAGCAATGATCTCTCTGCAGAGGTTCAACATGCCCCCTGAGTCAGAGCCAAAGCCCTGCAATCATCAGAGAGCTTTAGCTTTCTCAATTGCAGAGCTATGATCTGACATAGTAGAGGGCATGTTGGACCTCTGTGGAAAGACCCCTGCTTGTCTGTATCATGTGTCCCACTATGCAATATGATTGCAGGACACATGATACAGACATCAGCTGTTTTAGAAAGAAAACAAACTGTAAGGCATTAAACACATTTTGTTTTCATGCACTTGGAATCTATTTAGATGATTTAAACAAGCTCATTTAGGCTTTAAATAACAAATAAAGCTTGTAAGTTTGCAGTACAACTTTTCAGACACTCACAAGGTTTCTCACCTTTTTGTGATTACTAAATTTGTAATATACTCTAAAATGAAAAATGTACATTTGGTCACACTACATTTGGTTGGAATTTCAGGGGTAAAACATTTTAATAGCTATCTACAGTGAAATTCATGGTAACATATTGAGGCACGAGGTCCCTTTTGTCAGAATGGTAACCAACTATCAAGCTAATAATACTTATTTTCACAATATATTATCTGAACATTCAATGTAAGTAAACATTTTCCAAATATCTCTGAATATAGTATTTTGAGTGAGTTGTATTTTTATGTTAAAGTACAAAATGTGCCTTGATTGGTAATGGATAAGAAAACTAATTACATGCAATGTGCAACCCTTGCTTTTTCCCTTTTCCCTGTTTACCTTATTCATTGCTAATGCTAATTGCTCATTGAAAATATGTCTATTTTTATAGTTCCCTGTATCTTACAGAAAAAGGTACTGCAGACCCCTTGCACTTCAACACTGCTTTAATCCAAACATAATGGCCACTCTGGGAACAGCTATCAAGTTTTAAAGATCAATCATGTTTCTGAGCAATACAGACACATTTGTATGTTGCTTTCATTTGCAAAGAGCAACGCAAGTGATTTGTATATACCTGACAGATGTGTACTGGATACATGCAAAGTCTGGGTTTTGTGTGTGTGCACAAATAAGATATACTGTATATATATATAAACAGTATACTATATATATATATATA